TGAGGACAGGTCCATATGAACAGGATCCTTCCCTCCTTTTCTCGGCCTGGGACCTGTTCATATACGTTCTTGGCAGATGATCACGACGTGGTTTGCCATTGCCTTCTTCTGTTTGTGAATGGAGTAATTGTTGGGATGCCATGGAGGAAAACTCCGTGTTGCCTAGACCACGGCCTTGCCCAACACAAGTTATAAATTCGGGCACCGCCGGGAATCGAACCCGAGACCCCAGGATTACAAGGCCAGCGTTCTAACCGCTAGACCACAGTGAGAAAAATTTATATCTCCGATTGGCCATCATATCTTTACAATATAATGATTAGATCATGCAATTTACCATTGTTTGGTTAATTGAGGATCTTGTAGGGTCCTTATTACGATTTCAGCCCCATGTTTAGAGGGGCAGAGGTACAAGGCTTGGGTTATCGCCTCTAGCTTCACTTTTACAACCTCCGTCTCCTCTCGACTTTTCTCCTTCAGTACAACGGAGAGACATCCGGTCCGGTCACCTGTAGAAAGAGAATCCTATGCTAAATTGCGTGAGCTGATAGTCAGACAGTCGCGGGTTTCTCCGCCACCAACAACGAGGTCTTGGAGCTGAACGAACGAGGTTATAGAAAGTACTGGGCATGAACACCCTGAGGGCGGAAAGAAGTGTTTTAAGGCGTCCAGTAGGTGTTGAGAGGGAGTTGGTATGACTCACAAATTATTTCTCCGAGTTCGTATTTTATTATATATTTTTTTCTGTGTGATTTATTTGTTTGTTGCATATCTAAGGTTATTAATTAATTAATTATCACCTTTAATAAATTTAAACAGTGTTAAAATTTAATTATTTTTCAGTTACGTTTATCATTAAATAGTTTTTTTCAGATTTAATTAAATGTATTCTCACCGTAAAGTCCCATGTTCTTAGAAAATGTCTGAGCAATTAGCATCTCGAAGCCTCTGTCCGCGAAGTACCGGACAGCCCAGGCGTCTTCCTCCAAATTACCACTGGCCAAGCCTTGGTATGCGGCATCAAAGAATGTAAATAATTTCCTTTCCTGTAAGGAAACAACAACATAAATGCAGAGTTATCGACAGACCTTGAGGAATATTCACACTGCCTTAAACTGTAAAAAATATCGCTTCTGAGAAACATGTCTAGAGTCTAGTTTTCCTGTTGTATTGCTTTAAAATTCTGAAGTTTTCTCTGCGAAATTCGCAGACTAGACACACGTATTTAAATATTTGTTTTGCAAAAATGAGGCAGAAATGTAAAGTCTTTTTCAAAATCGTTTACAGATTGGCTCAGATTCAGGTGACGTTCATACCCAAAATTAACAATTAAATCATTTATTTGTTCTTATATTTATTTCAGACTTACTAATTATGTTGGAATACCTAATACAGATAAGTCCTGTTTTCCGACTCTCATCCCACATTTGGCTTCCCATGGTAATTTGGTCCTTGGAAAAAAACAATTTACATTTTAATAAATTCGCTTTTGAGTGTCATTCATTTCACGAAGTGTGATACTTCCAAATGTGGGCATTCTTTCCACCAACGCGGGATGTTAAGCTTCCCCTAACACGTGAAAACTTCGATACCAAAGAGTCCCTACCTGCATGACGTCCGCGACCTCAGTCCACTGCTTCTTCGTGAGGTCACATCCTGTCGGATTGTGAGCGCACAGTTGTAGGACAATAACAGAATTTTCTGGGGCCTCTCGGAGATCCTCAATCAACCCCTCGAAGTCCACGCCCCTTTTGACGGGATCCCAGTATCGATATTTGCGAGAAGTCGAAAACCCCGCGTACAGAAAAGTCAGCTCGTGGTTATCTGTGACACAGGGAAACAGTTGACTGCGTAAAGACGTCGATGGGTTAGAATTAAAGTAAGTCACATATAAAGCATTGGATGAAGTACATTTCAAGGACGTTGTCCCTCTCTCTGTCTCTCTCTCCGAAAGTACTCGACGATTTTTTTTACGAAATTTGATACAGAAAGTTTACATCAAAAATTGTTGGACAACACAGAGTCTACTTTAGTTGAATTTAAAATTAAATTTATAATCTTATAAAAACTTTTAAATCGTTGTAATTTAGGGTATTTATACAAAGAGCATGTCTAATTTACGTCGGTAATTTTTTTTTTAAAAAAAATATTATTCCATTGTAATGTGTGGGTCTGTTTAAGCGAATTATTAAAAGCAAATTGAAAATTCCCTTGTAAACATGACTGAGATGTTTGTTAACTTTGTAACGAATCCTTTCTGCAATAAATTGAACATTAAGACAATTAGTGCAAATCACGAAAAAATGGAAAACGCTTATGTAAAGCTCGTGTTAGGAAACGCCCTCGTTAGGACAATCTGATCAGAAACCTTAAATTTTATGGAGATAAATTTATTAGTTGAATTATTTATCATGTAAATAAATAATTACAAGCGCCAGAATGTCCTCAGTGTCCCAACGTTTAGAATACCACTGGTCCACGGAAATAATACTTTTTTAACGTGTTAGCCTGGTTAACACGGCTAACATGAACGCTTCGCCCCTGGACTATAGAAAGTAAGGCAATACAGAATGTTGAAGATATCAGAGTAACTGATAGGCAATATCTCATGCGTTTAGCTTACCCCAGGTTGGATCCGAAATGTAGAAAGTTGTATAATTATAATATCTGGCGAGGAGCTCTGCCCCGACACGAAGTGCACTTGTGCCACTGACTGTCTGCACGCCGAAGGCCTGTCAAAGCAGGAGAGAAGCCCTGGCTAAAATCCATCGGACAGATCTGACATCCTCAGGACAGTAAAAAAAATGTCGAAATTGTCCCTGGACTGTAATATAAGACCACGTGGTCTTGTAGGTATATAACAAAATTTTTTGGAGAAACTTACTGTGTCAATTTTTCATCAGACCCGGAGTGCCGTGATGCACCCCCCCCCCCAAACAGACGACTTGACTTTTTTCTGGTTAATTCATTTGTCATCTTAGTCTTGAAAGAATTTCGCAGTTTCTGATGTCATAAAAAGTTTAATTTATTTTAGTTTGGATTTTTATATTACTCCTGTCAGATTTAATCAAAATATAATTAAGATCTTTTGCCGGTCGGTGTTCCCGCGTGACCGGAAGTTGTTCGTGGCTGCACCTACCTTCCCATTCTGTAGGTGAGGGCTTTTCTCGCCAAACACAAGACGAGGCACCAGATCGTTAAACGACTGGAGTCCGAGGTAAGTCACGTATTCGTGATTAAAATCATCGCTCTGAAGCAGTTTCTTCTCGAGTTCAAGAACAAATGGCATCACCCATGGTTTTCCAATTTCGTCTCTGTAAACTAGAGACAATTGTGGCAAATTAAACCTTGAGTTGTTATTAATGAGTGACGGTTGACGGTTTGTTTACCGAAAGAATTTTCAACTGCATTTGACATGAACAATGCAATGCATGGAGAATGTACAGAACCCAAGAAGCGTTTGATTGGATGTTCTGGAATAACCCGTGGCTGTAACAATCGAAACATTACGTTCGAATGTGCAAACCAGTATTTTTCGACGTAAATACGTCTATACGGAAGGGTCATTCGGCAAAATAGTGAAAGGAAAACGTGTAAGATCCATATCAACAAATCGACGACAATGGTTACCTATGGAACGTCGTGTTTACTCGGCATTGTTATTAAATAGGAAAACGTGTAAGATCCATATCAACAAATCGACGACAATGGTTACCTATGGAACGTCGTGTTTACTCGGCATTGTTATTAAATAGGAAAACGTGTAAGATCCATATCAACAAATCGACGACAATGGTTACCTATGGAACGTCGTGTTTACTCGGCATTGTTATTAAATAGGAAAACGTGTAAGATCCATATCAATAATGTGTTAATATGGATCGACAACAATGGTCAGCTTGCGTGCATTGTTATGGTACCTAGGAAACGTCATCTGTTTACTTGGCATTGTTGTAATTAAAGCTAATATATAAACTTCCTTTCCGTATAGACGTATTTACGTCAGATCCTCCGGAACCGTGGTTCCACTGTCAATTTTTTTGCAACGGTAAATTAACGCAGTATAAGTTGGAAATTTACGTTTAACTTCAACCGAACAGTGAACAAATTTGTAATATCGCAAGTAGGACTTGAGGTTCTCTCGGAGGACAGTAAGCAGATGGCTGTTTTCTGGGTCGTAGCGCCGTGTAGAACCTTCTCACTATTATTACATTTTATGATAATCCCTGTTAATTCCTGCCTCTTTGATAGAAGCAATCATCAGTCACCAGACACTTACCTCCAAAAACCGCATCTATTTTATCTTCAGTGTCATCTTTATCACTGGCTTCAGAAGCAGAAATCGATACAAGAACTGGATTTGGAATGTAGGAACACATTCCTGAAGACGACATCTTGGCCTAAAGTCAAGACAGCTAATAAACTGAATAAGCTGACGTGAACGTATTTAAATGGGTTGGATCAAAGTTAAATTGTGGATGTTTCTGTGTGATAAACTTAAATGTAGTACATGAATCCTCTTAGCGTTAAAAGTCATTGTCTGTCAGTAATCTGTTTAATGCATTTACGTAATGGCAGGCTTCACCCATCCGGAAAGTCAAATGAAGTCCTGAAGTGTATTTTGCTTCAGGTGCATATCGGACAACCTGATACAGGTAATTGCCGCGTAACTCAGCACACCCTGTACTCTGGAATTCGTTTCCCTTTCTACTCCCTACCGGAATTCAGTTATCTGTTTCCCCTTCCATTTTGTGTCCGTACAATTTGTACTCGATAATTTCGCAGGAAAGGGTTCTCAAGGACGACGAATTTCAACTATCGATTCCCCCACTTCAATTCTTATCGTTCCATTATCCCTTATTTTGACACCTGACATCTGATAAGGCGTTTTCAGTTAACTACAGTCACTAACCCAGTTTTTCTTACGAATTTTCCTTTTCTCCTGAGGAAGGAAACACATCCAGCTTCCGAAACGTTGCGTTCTTTTAAGGCTACTAGACGATGGAAAAAAATCGGGCAATCTGTAATACATAATTAATACTTTTAATCTTGGCTGAATTATATTTATTTAGAATAAAATCTACAAAAGTTCATCGTATTTCGAGGGAATGCGACTTTGGGAAGTTATGGAAGTTAATTGAACGTTTAAATCGTAGTGGCAATTATAAGTTCCACCTGCTTTGACATTGAATACGTGTATTTTTTTTTATTCGTGTGTTTCGTATGATTCTCGATGTAAACAGCGATTATTTCCTTGATCAGTGTTAACCAGTCGATCTTTTTAATGGTGAAGTGTAGTGTTTTCTTCGCGGTACGGACTGAATACGTAATATTTCGACGATCTTCGGCTTCACGGGTTAACCAGTCGATCTTTTTAATGGTGAAATGTAGTGTTTTCTTCGACGATCTTC